CCCAGTTATATAGGAAAGTTGATTTTCACATAAATCAAAAGATGATACCGTGGAAAAAAAGGAAAAGAAAAAGAATAAGTAAAATCCAACCAAATTTATGAGACCTCATTGCATGCAATCAAAGCGTATAATAGACATATAGAGAGCATTTAATCGAACAAATCTTATATATGTGAACGGTCCACTGAATTCAGATAATTTAATAATTCATATGAACCCGAAATACACGCTCCAATTCATATCATAATTAAGAAAAGTTAACCATGCAATAGATTTTTATTTGTTGTTGAATAATATCTACTTATTTATGTCTGCTTACAGCCTGTCACATCATTTTATATACCAATTTTGTGAACTTGTAATATAACCAGCATTGCTTGCCATAATTTTTCCAACCGCCACATATTTCACTTAATCTAATCATTGAATGGTGATAGAATACATCATTTTCTGAAGGAAGCAATTCATGTCAAATGTTTTACTAGGTGCTCGGCCATGCAATGGGTCAACCTGAAAACTTCTTGACCGTGTCCTGCTTGGCGACTACTTGGTCGCTGTTTCGGCTTGTTTGGCTGGTTTGTAGTATTAGTGGGAGTAAAAATGGTTCAATTCTCGTATCCACTTACATGCTATTGTCCCGGGGAACTTAGATAATGTCATATATATACTTCACTCCGTGGCAGTTACCATTGGGTGTGATCACACTCTATTCTCTCTCGTTTGATAAATCTTTTTATGAGCTGACCAACTTCTGTGACAATGGAGAATCGTTACGTGATATTTTAGTGTATCTATTAATTAGTATCATATCGTTCTGTCGGTAAAGTGGTATTTGGTAATTATATTAGATTGAATCAAACTTGATAGAGAGAAATTGCATGATTAAAAACTAGAAAGAATAAATGCGTTTTTGGAGAAATATGTTAAGCCTCCTCGATTTTACATGATTTTTACAACGCAAATAATCAATACTTGAATCATATGTTTTGTAAGGGCGTGGCACCTTTATAGTTTTTTTTAGTCAAAACGTGGGGCCTTTATATTAACTCTAGGGCGTAGGTACGCTGGTCGACTCTCCCCACCCTTTTGTTGCTCTAAAAGAAGATAGTTCATTCCATCATTTTTACATATTAGAGTGACGCAAGACTGAATAAAAGAAGTTTATTTGTAAAAAAGGATAACACTGCGATGATGACTCTAGCTTTCAAGACTTAAAACTGCTATAATCCTTGGGCTAAAGGGCCTTTATAAAATGTCAGCGGCTAAAATCGACCTCTTCATGAGTTGTTTGATAACCAACAATGGGATTGAAAATCATTAGTTGTTTGGACTATCAATCGATGATGGTATGTGATTTTGTGAGACCACTGCTGACTGTTTAAAGCTTAAGCAATTAAATAAAGGCGTGGTTTAATATTTAAATATTATATCACTCTCGCTCATGCTTAGTCTGTTCTTTTTTCCTAGTACTAAGTATTGAAATATATAATTAGAGAGGCAAATAAAGGTTAGACAGATTTGAACTCAGGACCTGCTCTGATACCTTGTGAAATTTTGACCACTGCCAACTGTTCTAAAAGTTTAAGCTGTTAGAAGAATGCATAATTTTAATATTTAATTATTCTTACATACTTCATTACGCTTAATATGAATATTTAAATATTATTTGGCGAAACTGTGAATTGGATGAGCAAGAGGTATAGCACGGTTGCTTTATCTACTATTGAGACAATATACATGGCCCTTACTCATGCTGCTAAGAAAGTAATCAGGATGCGCAGATTGTGTAAAGAGCTTGGTTTTACACAAGGAGGAGTGAAGATTGGGTGTGATAACCTGAATGTTATATACTTGGCCAGGAATCCTAGTTTTCATGCAAGAACAAAGCACATCATCATACAACATCGCTTCTTCTGACAGAAAGTGAAACAGAAGGTTCTAATACTAGAGAAAGTTGACACACAGGTGAATAGTGCAATTTTTTTACCAAGGCAGCGAGTGCAGAAAAGTTTGAATGGTGTACAAGTGTGTTGGCATTAAAGAAGCATGTTGAGTATCCATCAAGTGGAAGAATGTTGGGGTGTGGTTCATATTCTCCTCCGACAAGAAGACACGAGGGTCCCGTTACTTGGTGAGCGAGCGGAGATCTAGAGGGGCTACCCCAGTGGGGGTAGTAAGGGCAACGCCCCCAGGCCGCCAGAGGACTTTTATAGTTTAAGCTCATATTTTATTGGTAATTTAGATTTGGGCCCATGAATAGCTACCGGGTATATATAATATCTTTTTCTTGCAATTGAGGGATGTAACAGAGGTGCGAAATGTTAATTATAGTGGAATCTTCAACTAAACGTAGTTCTAATGTAAGGGTGAACTAAGATAAAAACCTTGTATCTCGATTTCCTTTTTTTGCTTTTATTCTTTATTTTCTTGTGATTGTGCGTTGAATCCTCACAACCCTCAGCAACGCAATTCCGAGAAGACATGAACTTATGGAAAAAGGTGATCTGTTTCCGAGATTCTCGATCGCAACCTTACTTCTTTTGCTCTTGGTTTTGTAGCACATTTACCAACTTTCCATGGTCTAAGTAATTTCATGTCCTCAAAAGAGATTGTGGTCACAGCACAGATTTGTTTGCTAGGCATGGGCATATGACCTATGTCTACCACATATGGTTATGTAGATCAAGTCCATCTACCCTATTACTTATGTGGGTTTTATCCTGAGACTTATATGATCAACGATCTGTTCTATAAATTATGAAATGAAAATCATGCTTAGTTACATTCTCCTCCATTGCTATGTTCAACTCTACATCAACCTCCTTTCCAATTCCGATATTTTATAGCCGCAACTATGGCTATCTACTACTATTGTTGGAGCTATTTCGACCTAATTCTTTGGTTCTACCTCGACCATAACGCGATCAAACTCTCCAAAAAGCAGGTTTTTCAAACATAGATCAAGTGATGGATATATTAAAAGGGCGTGCCAGCTCTTGAGAGTTAAGTGCGAAAAGGAATTCGCTAGATTGATCTAAATGACAACAAGTAAATTTACTTGAAAAGTAAATACCAAGGACTAGAAAATTAAAGGAAATTATAAGAAGAATGTAGGGATTAAAGGAAATTAAAGGAATTCAAAGTGAATATTGGAAAGGAAATTATTGGAAATCAAACTTCACTGGAATTGAAAATAAAGGAAAGTTAAAAACACATTGACGCTCAAATAAAAACATTGTAACGGACATTACACCAGTATTCACAAATGCACATTATGGATTACAAGCTTATGGAAAGACATTGCTTCAAAAGGAAAATACTTCAAAGAAAAAATTGGCAGAGTTTTGGCATGGCTGGAGCGTGCCTTCTTCCTATGCGTTCGTTCTTTTTATAATCCTTGGATCTCGTTTAGCAGTTGTTGAATTTCACTTGTAAGCCTCTTGTGTAACTACTCCACGGTTCTATGATTTCCTCCATTTCCCATAATCTTAGTAACTTCCATGTCCAAATTGCATGATGGACAAATCGCCGCTCAGTGTTCACATTATATTCTATATTAGTTTTGTAAACTAATTTTCTCTTACGAAGTTTCAGGAGAGACTGCACCGAGTAAAATTTATTTATCTCCGAATGGCATTGAATGCCCATGGTTTTAATGATAGTTTGGCACGTGAGCATGAACTGTATCTTCGCTACACAATCATACGGTGCGGTTCCTTTCCTTTCTTTACTTTTTTTTGGTGTGTGAGATCTAAGGTGAATCTCATTATATCATTATCATATGATTAACATAATTCATTACATCAAATCAACCCGATTACTTCTGGCCAAATAATTATTCCTCCGGCGGTGGCCTTTGTCGCTCTTTTGAATAATTTGATTTGGAGACAAAATGGAGATTCAAATGCATGGGAGCAAACAAGAGCTAACTACCTGGCTTTCGTCTGTTTCTCCCAAGAGTAGCTAACTACCCGGCCTTTGTCTGTTTCTCCCAAGAGTAGCTAACTACCCGGCCTTTGTCTGTTGCTTACTAGTGTCGCTTGAGTGCAAGTGGATATATATTTTTTTTCTCACGTATTTTTTTTAATGTATTGGTCAATTCAGAAGGCCATCTATTCAGCAAATAAGAAAGTTTTCGGCCCATAATTATATTTTAATGTGTTACAAGTGCAAATATCATCTGCATTTATTTATGTTCAATTTGATTTGCATGGAATAAATGTTTGCCGTAACTTTACCTCACGAATCAAAGACATGATTGAAGGAGAGAGAAATTGAGGAATATACTGCAAATAAAGAAGGACGCCTAGGATTAACTACGACAATGAGTGTTATGGCAGTTTTAAAACCTATTGCAAAGAAAGGGCAAAAGGACACTATAAGTGCCATAAGTTGTGTACGGAGATCACTTTGGTGCCATAACTTTTTTTCGGATCACTTTGGTGCCAAGTCGGAGGAAAAACGATCACTTAAGTGTCATAAGTTTTTTTTGGATCACTTCAGTGCTAAAATTTTTGAAAAACGATCACTTAAGTGCTAAAAATTTTGAAAAACGATTATTTAAGTGCTAAAATTTTTGAAAAACGATCACTTAAGTGCCAATCTCCGGCGAGCCACATCAGCTTCAGAAATTAATAAAAAAAATGCCACGTCGGATTTCCGGCGAAAAGTTGTGTACGGCACCGAAGTTGGCACTTAAGTGATCGTTTTTCAAAAATTTTAGCACTTAAGTGATCGTTTTTCAAAAATTTTAGCACTGAAGTGATCCAAAAAAAACTTATGGCACCAAAGTGAGCGCCGTATATAAGTTACGGCACTTGTAGTGTTCTTTTGCCGCAAAGAAAGTGTAAAAGAATTCTAAAACTTTCAATAAATGCGATCAAGTTTTAAAATTTATCTGATGCAATTGAGTTCCTTTGTCAATTCCATCAAATTTGACTAATGAAGAATGCCGACGTAGAATTTTTATATATATACATACTTCTCGTGCAGCCCTCAAAGCACACTCAGGCAACTTTCTTTTCAGCAGATTTTTCCCTAGATTTTAAGCCCAATCTTCCCCTTACTTTCTTGAAAAGAGAAATGAGCGGATGGTCATCTTCCATGGAGCTGCAGTTCAAGGAACAGCCGACTCTTCTGAAACCCTCCGCCAGTAACTTCTCCTGCTGCATTTTCAAAGCCCCACAAAGCCTAGTTCAGATCAACCAGAAGGCTTACGAGCCCCAGATTGTCTCCATCGGTCCGTACCACCATGGCAAGGAACGGCTAAATATGATCGAGCAGCATAAACCTCGATTCTTCTCCACTCTCCTCGAACGAACCAAGGATCGAGACGTGGGCCTTGACGACTATTTCGATGCTGTTGCTTCGAGGGAGAAAGAAATTCGGGATTGCTACTCAGAGCGTCTTTGCGAAAGCCCGGATCTAGTCAAGATGATAGTCCTTGATGCCTGTTTCATTGTCGAGGTGTTCCGCATCTTCGGGAATGTAATTAAGCCTCATCCCGACGATCCTTTCTTGGGGATGCAATGGATCTTCACCTTCCTCACAAGGGACCTTCTTCGGATCGAAAACCAGATCCCTTTCTTTGTCCTTCAAGACATCTTCGACTTATCAAAGGGCGACACAGCAGAAGAAGCCGCCAAGGGCTCCCTCAGTGAGCTCGCGCTAAGATTCTTCAACATCGCGGCTCAAAGGCCTCAGGAGCAATTGAAGAAGTTCTATGGGGTTTCCAATGTCAAACACTTGCTTGACTTATTCCGATTGAGTTTCATTGGTCATTCGGAGCTGGAACAACCTGAAGATGTCGATGTTCACTACTTACAATTGATCCCTTCAGCGACGCAGCTTCTTCGCTCCGGGATCAAGCTGACGAACGGCGATGACTCGAACTTACTCAACATCCAATTCAATGGTAGAGTAATTCAAATCCCTACTTTGACTCTAGACGATTTCATAAGCTCCTTCTTTCTCAACTGCGTCGCCTACGAGCAGTGTTACATCCACTGCTCCGGGCACATCACCAGTTACATCACCTTCATGAGATGTCTCGTGAACAAAGAAGTGGATGCAGAGCTCTTATCTGATAACCAAATACTAGTGAACTATTTGGGATCGAATGCAGAGGTCGCAACTTTCTTCAACGAACTGGGTAAGGACTGTGCCATTGATCTCGAGACAAGCTACTTGGCCAAGATAATTGAGCAAGTGAACAGATACCACCGAACCAAATGGCACGTGATTTGGGCGGGGACCAAGCGCGAGTACTTTGGTAGTCCTTGGTCCTTCATTTCGGCTGTTGCTGCCTTTGTTCTGTTGGTTCTTACTTTCCTTCAAGCATTCTATGCGGTCTTCGCATATTATCATGCCCCGAAGTAACGACCCTCGGTGACGCAACTCCGGGAAGACATGAACCTTGTGGCAAAAGGTGATCTGTGTCCGAGGTTCTCGATCACAGCCATACTTTTTTCGCTCTTGGTTTTGTAGCACATTTGCCAGTTTTCCATGTTCTAAGTAATTATATGTCCTAAAAAGAGATTGTAGTCACAGCACAGATTTACTCGCAAGGTATGGGCGTTTGACCTATGTCTACCACGAATAGTTATATAGATCAAGTCCATCTACATTATCGCTTATGTGGGTTCTATCGTGAGGCTTATATGATCAACGATCTGTTCTATCGACTATGAAATAAAAATCATGCTTATTTACATCCTCCTCCAATGCTACGTCCAACTCTACGTCAAACTCCTTTCCAATTCCGATATTTTATAGCAGCAACTATGGCTATCTACTAGTGTTGGAGCTATTTCGACCTAATGCTAATCTGGCAAAAAAGTGATTGACAAAAATAACTAAAACTTATTCGTTGGTTCTACCTCGACCCTAAAGCGATCAAACTCTCCATAGAGCAGGTTTTTCGAACATGAATCAAGTGATGGATATATTAAAAGGGCGTGTGAAAAGGAATTCGCTAGATTGATCTAAATGACAACAAGTAAATTTACTTGAAACGTAAATACCAAGGACTTTTGACCAAAAAAGAAAAACCAAGAACTGGAAAATCAGAGGAAATTAAAAGAACAGTGTAGGGATTAAAGGAAAATAAAGATAAGAACATGAAATTAATTATTGGAAATCAAACTTCACTGGAATTGAAAATAAAGGAAAGTTAAAAACACCTTGACGCTCAAATGGAAACATTGAAATGGATACTACACCAGTATTCACAAATGCACATTATAGATTACAAGCTTAATCCTAAAAATGAAATTAAAATGGAAAGACATTGCTTCAAAAGTAAAATACTTTAAAGAAAAAATTAGCAGAGTTTTGGCATGACTCGAGCGTGTCTTCTGCCTATGCGTTCTTTCTCTTTATAATCCTTGGATCTCCTCTAGCGGTTGTTGAATTTCACTTGCAAAACCTCTAGCAACTACTTCATTTCCCATAGTCTTAGTAACTTCCAAGTCCATGATGCAATCTTGCATGATGGACAGATCGCAGTTCAGTGTTCACATCATATACTATATTAATTTTGCAAACTAACTTTCTCTGACAAAGTCTCAGGAAAGACTGTACCAAGTAAAATTTACTTATTTCCGAATGGCATTGAATGCCCATTGTTTTAATGGTAGTCTGGCACTTGAGTATGAACTGTGTTTTCGCTGCACATTCATAGGGTATGGTTTCTTTTCTTTATTTATTTTTTTAGGATAAGTACATTGAAAGTTTTAAAACTTATCATGAAAATACAATTAAGTCATAAAATTTTTAAAAAGTACAATCAAATCCTAAAACTTGTCACGAAAGTGCAATCGAGTCCTAAAAATTTCAAAACAATGCGATTAACGGAATGACTTGATTGGATCAATTTGAGAAGTTTAAGACTTAATTGCACTTTTTAAAAGTTTTAGAACTCAATTGCACTTTTGCAATAAGTTTTAGGACTTAATTGCACTTTTTGAAAGTTTTAGGATTCAATTACATTTTCATAATAAGTTTTAGGACTTCCAAAACACTGATCGTTTTCTTTTTTTTTGTGTTTGCGAGAGCTAACGTGAGTCTGACCATATCATTATTATACGATTAACATAATTCATGACATCAAATCAATCCGATTATTTCTGACCAAATAAATTATTCCTCTAGTCTTTGTCGCTCTGTTGAATAAATTGCTCGAGGATTTAGGTGGGTTGGAGACAAAATTGAGATGCAAAGGCATGGGAACAAACAAGAGCTAACTACCCGGCCTTTGTCTGTTGCTTGCTAGTCTCGCTTGACTGCAATTGGATATTTTTTTTCACGTATTTTTCTTTATATATTGGTTAATTCAAAAGGCCATCTATTCAGCGAATAAGAAAGTCTTCGACCCATAATAATATTTGAATGGGTTACAAGTATAAATATTGTATGCATTTATTTATGTTCAATTTGATTTGCACGGAATCAATGTTCGTAAATTTGACTCAATTAAACTGAAGTATAATTAAGACGGCAATAGCTCTAGGTTAGACTGAACTGGGGAATTAACCCTATAGATCGTCGTTTCACTGTGTGCTACCGCTTATCTAATGGTGCAAACAACAAACAGCTCATTTCGTTCGATCAAGTACGAAGATGGGATATCATGCTTTTGCCGATACATCATCGAAATTATTGGGATTGCAATGTTTATAGAAGACACGGGAGTTCGTCATACTGGTGGGATAATCATTTACTGCGACAAGCGGGGTGCTATCCAAATATCACGTGATAATATTTCTCATTAGCGCATCAAGTATTTTATAATAGGCTATCATTTTCTACGTCATCACGTGTTTCGTGGCACCATTCATCTCGCCTCCGCTTCATCGGTTAATCGGACTGCTGACACCTTTACTAAGGCACACCCATCCGGATGTTTTTACATCTTTTCTCCAAATTCCAATTAACTTCTTCTATGTCACATTAATTTGGAGAGGATGCTGGAGATAATGAGGAGGTTTTCCATATCTCTCATAATTATACATATATCTTATTTGATTGTGCATATTCTTGGTTGATCCTAATTCATTGGAATTGATATTATAATATATTATTATTATCTTAAATAGTTCTCTCGTAAAGTTTATAAATATTTCATGTATTCTTCATTACGAGATAAAACAATTTTCTTCTGCATATTATTATCTGGCAGAAGTACAACCTTTTTTTGGTGGCGGCTTTGGCAGAGCTAACTAACTTACGGGAGGCATTGAATACTCAATGTCCGAATCTGGTGTCTCGCACTTCATTCGCGTTATTCCAAAAGGAAATCTTCTGGCCGTTAGATCGGGGGATGGGTTGACATGTGCAGGAGAGGTCCGATCTTGTGGATAGTATTGAATGAGGATCGTAATATTGAATTATGAGCATGGGACGGGGGAGCTGACCCCACAATAGATGCTTCTCTTCGAGGACAAGCAACCATCTCTATCGTTAATTCACAGGATAATTACCTAAATGATTCATGAACTTTGTCTCGATGTGTAATGTGATATTCGAACTTTTATTTTTTTCAATGTGGTTCCTGAACTTTAAACGAATGTGGAGCGATGACCGATGAATATAACATTACAACTTTACGAGATCCATGTGGAGCGATGACCGATGTGGATCCATCTGAAATTCGCGAATCAAATTTTGAAGTGGGTACAGAATTTGATTATGAAACAGAGGATGAAGATGATGCTCATGAAGAAGATGAAGATGAAGACGGAGATGAAGACGAAGATGAAGGTGAAAATGAAAGTGAAGATGAAGATGAAGATGAAGATTATGATTTTTGAGACTTTTTACTAATTATGTCTAGTTATTATTGTTATTGAGACATGTGTTTTTTGTTGTTATGATAATTTTTATTATTGTTGTTGTTGTCGTTGTTGTTCTTATTAGAATCCGTGGCTAATTAGCCTCAGATTTAGCCACGGAATTGAAATAGTCGGGAAAAAGCCACGCGACTATATTTCCGTGGCAAATTTCCCACAAATTTAGCCATGAATTTCAACAAAAGGCCATCTCCGCCAGAGGCCTTATTTTTGTGGCAAAATTCGTGGCAAATTTCCCACAAATTTTGCCACGAAAATAGTACCTAGAGCAATATTTGCCTCGACACTTGAATTTCGTGGCAAAATTCGTGGCAAATTTGCCACGAATTTTGCCACGAAAAAAGTACATAGGAGAATAATTCCCGAGACTTTAATGTCGTTGCAAAATTCGTGGCAAATTTGTGACAAATTTTGCCACGAAAACGAAGTTTTACTAACAATTGCCCGGAAAGTTATTTTCGTGGCAAAATTCGTGGCAAATTTGCCACGAATTTTGCAACGAAAATAGTATATAGGAGAATAATTGCCTTAAGATTTTGAAATTCGTGGCAAAATTCGTGGGAAATATGCCCTAATTTCAAAAAAGGCCGCAAATGCCTGACATTTTTTTGTCGTGGCAAATTTGCCACGAATTTTGCAACGAATTTCAAGTTTATAGGAGAATTATATATTGCCCCGAGGTTTTTAAATTCGTGGCAAAATTCGTGGGAAATTTCCCACGAATTTTGCCACGAATTTCAAAAAAGCCCCCCAAGGCCGAATATTTGAATTTCCCACGAATTTTGCCACGAAAATACTATATAGTGCAATAATTGCCCGGAAATTTGAAATTCGATGCAAAATTCGTGGGAAATTTCCCACGAATTTTGCCACGAATTTCAAGTATATAGGAGAATTATATATTGTGGAGAATTATATATTGTGCCGAGGTTTTTAAATTCGTGGCAAAATTTGTGGGAAATTTCCAACGAATTTTGCCACGAAAATACTATATAGTGCAATAATTGCTCGAGGTTTTTAAATTCGTGGCAAAATTCGTGAGAAATTTCCCACGAATTTTGTCACGAATTTCAAATTTCTAGGAGAATTATATATTGCCCCGAGGTTTTTAAATTCGTGGCAAAATTCGTGGGAAATTTCCCACGAATTTTGCCACGAATTTCAAGTATATAGGAGAATTATTGCCACAAATTTCAAATTTACGGGCAATTATTGCACTATATAGTATTTTCGTGGCAAAATTTGAGGGAAATTTCCCACGAATTTTGCCACGAAATTCAAATATTCAGCCTTGGGGGCCTTTTTTGAAATTTGTGGCAAAATTCGTGGGAAATTTCCCACGAATTTTGCCACGAATTTAAAAACCTCGGGGCAATATATAATTCTCCTATAAACTTGAAATTCGTTGCAAAATTCGTGGCAAATTTGCCACGAATTTTGCTACGACAAAAAAATGTTAGGCGTTTGCAGCCTTTTTCGAAATTCGGGGCACGTTTCCCACGAATTTTGCCACGAATTTCAAAATCTTGGGGCAATTATTCTCCTATATACTATTTTTGTCGCAAAATTCGTGGCAAATTTGCCACGAATTTTGCCACGAAAATAACTTTCCGGGCAATTGTTAGTAAAACTTCGTTTTCGTGGCAAAATTTGCCACAAATTTACCACGAATTTTGCAATGACATTAAAGTCTCGGGAATTATTCTCCTATGTACTTTTTTCGTGGCAAATTTGCCACGAATTTTGCCACGAAATTCAAGTGTCGAGGCAAATATTGCTCTAGGTACTATTTTCGTGGCAAAATTCGTGGCAAATTTGCCACGAATTTTGCCACGAAAATAAGGCCTCTGGCGGAGATG